GCCTCTGCTTTGCTTTTTTTTTCTTCGTTGCGTTGCCTCTATTCTGTGGTCGTTTCTTTCCGTTTCTCTTGTTTTCGATTCCGCCGCCTGTTCAGTCCAGTGTTTTTCCTTTTCTCCTTTTTTTTTCTCCTTTTTTTGTTTTGTCTCGCTTCACCGCTGAGTTGGCGTGTACAACAAGCCTGCCGAAACACGTTACCTCGGATCTGCTCGTTTCCATCTCCGAGTCAGCTTCTTTTGTGGCGCGTAAAAATAGTCCGGTCTAGACTGGTTGGCAGAATAGGGAGCAATCTCGCGGCCGCCCCACTATAGTGCTTGTATATACAGCAACGCGCTGGTTTTCGTGCGTTTGATGGAGTGGGTTAGTGGCTGAGCTACGAAGCTGCGCTCAATCATGCTGTGGTCTATAGCGCGGATGTGGCATTCGGGACGTCTGTGGAGATCATCGCAGTTTCTGAACACTTATGCTGTGACGTCAGGAACTCTACGAAAGAAGAAAAAAAAGGAAGAAAGAGTTTGAGCATGAAGCAGGTGCCACTAGGAAAGAAAGAAGGCAGAATCAGATGGGGAGAAATAAAAATTTAATATTTCAATAGCCAGAGTATTCTTCTCACTCTTGAAAGGCGGCCACCCCAGTCCGCTCAGCCAAAGCACTTTACTGCAGCCTGGGCATGGTTCACGTGTTTTCTCTGGTATATATGGAAGACAGATCATTATCATGTGGTAATGATTGTTTAGTCCCTCGCAGATCCTGAGTACGTACTCGAATTATATAGCGTATATTCTGTTTAACATTGCCGCATGAATGAGTTCACTCGTCTGAAACCATCTTCATTTTACCCTCTCCTCGTTTTCTAAGCCTTATTTCCTCCTTTTTTTCATTATTTACCTTAAGAACTGCGCTGGGGTGTTACATAAGGTGTGGAAATATGAACATAAATTACATAATTTGTACACAAATAATTATTGTCATTTCTTTGACGAAGGCACGCGAGGTGGCGATGGAAGCGATGTGGTGGGAAAGGCAGTTTCGGGCTTTGGATGTGTGATGCAAAAACGATTACGAGCAAAGGAACAGTACGCGTTGCAATAGTAATTAATCAGTAAATGTCGCAAGATGTTCAAGTATTTCTTTCGAGTGTCCTCCGTGTCTTCCTTGTGGTGACCTCTGGCATGCAAGCCCGGCTGTTGCCGCAGTGCGAGCCGCTTTATTTGCTTCCTCCTCGTGCAGTATTTTCTTGATCAAGAAGAGCATGGCCTGCCTTTTCTGGAAGCTGTGGAATGCAGATTGTGAACCACTTATCACGATGATAAATTTATGGATCGCATTGATGCCACAGCTATTTATTTTCCGCTCGTATTTATCGCGCCCTTGCCATATACGTGTTGGCTGCGCTGTCTCAGTACTCGTTGCAATGCGGATCCAATTTTCTGAAGACTCTTTATGAACTTAAACCACACAAAAAACGCTTCTATGCCAGACGCAAACAATTACAGGACGTTCCCCGAACCAGGAGACTGTACTGTAAGGAAGGCGTTCGTTTCACATTAGTCTATACACTGTCATCACAGCATAAAAAATGCAAAAATATTTACAGCCTCTTTGGAAGACTTTATCTTATATCTCATCAACGCACCTTAGTCTTGCTTTTGTTTGTGTAGATGGACATTGTTCTGAATTTCTCATTAACAGTAAAAACCAAGCCTTCGGTGCAGTCATGGTCACCACCGCCACAATCCTCCCCCGAAACCACGAAGCAGCGGATCATGTAGCTATATCCGTATACGTGTGCTCGACTGCAAACGCGAAGTCATATACAGCGACTCCAGACCAGCCATCAAAGCCTTCGAACGTAGCGTCGCCTCCCATCAGGCTTTAGGCATCCTCCTCACTGCGGATCTGAATACCCTGAAGCAGCGCCTTGTCATCTGGTTCCCCGCCCATCTCGGCCGGGTGCTCCGTCCAACCTCAACGGGAGCGCCCAAGAGGCAGCGCACGCACTTACCGACCGCGCCGCCACAGGGCAACCCCATCCCGCCGAGACCGGTCGGGAGGCCCGCATTGCGTACAATGACATCACAAGACACCAGCGACACGTGCCCCTCATGCGAACACACGGCGACACTCACACACATGCTCCGGTAGTGTATAAACTCTCATTACCGCGCTACCTCACACAAGCGGAGAGTTCCTTCAAAAGCTCACTTCTCACCGACCAGCAATCCAGCAGGCCCACGAAGCGGCCGCCAGGTATTGCCTGTCGGTCTACATACGTGGGAGACGCCCGCTACGCGCTAAGAGTGTCCTGCACGACAAAAATAAAGTTTTTCTATTGTATTGCAGCCTCTGCAACGAAGCCTTGCATGCCGTGTAAAGGCACTAGTCTTCAAGGGCCTTCGCTTTGACTTTTGATCTGCTTACTTCAAGAGCACAGATGTTGGATTTTCGATGTTTTGTAACTTTTTGGTGGACGTGCATGGGGTAGCCTGTTAATGTACGCATGTTTCTGGTGCACTGTCATACACTTCTTAAGGGAATCATGGCACACTTTTTGAGTACGATCAGAAAACGTTGCCGATTGATATTCAAGTCTCTCGAAAACACACGAGCTAAATATTACAGCGCAGCACGCAGTCTGGAATTCACAATAAATTCCCGATGTCAGCTAAAAATGGTTTTCTCTTGATAATATATGGTAGCGCAGACAAAGGACACGGACAAGAAAAGGCACATTCAAGACAACGCAGCGCTATGTGCCTTCTATTGTCCGTGTACTTTGTCTGCGCTACCACATATATTAGCGTGCTACCATACCAACAAGCCCAGATCGCCACCCTTATTGGTTTTCTCTTTTCTCGATAAATGACGCTACGAGCTCAAAACCACTTGTCACAGCCATGGTATCAGCCATTGGCTGATTTATGAATGGTGCACTCATTTGTTACTGTAGCAGCCGCGGGAGGCAGCGACTTGCCCACAAGTTCGCGCGCGCTGGGAAACTGCGTATTCAAAAAAAAAAAAAAAGACAGGAAAAAGTGCTAGGAGGCTTTACCTCCCGGTCCTGACGGGAGATTAACCAGGCGTAACAAGCTGTCCAGGACGTGTACATAATGTTCTTTCCATCAAGGTCACGAGGCACACGTGACGTTTTTTTTTTTTTTCCCGCGCCATCCATTTCTGCTTAGCTTCCAGCGCTTTCATCGAAACGAGGGAAGAGGGAAATTTAGCTCCGCTCGTACTGGACGAATTCTAAAAAAAAAAAAATGCGGCGGTGAATTTGTGAGGCGATAAGCTCCTTTAGTGATTCCATTCTACGGCTACTTGAAAAAGTGTTGCAGTGTCCCTTCAAGCTACCCTCGTAGCTTTTCGCTAAAGGCCTGTTTCCTGTATTTCACTTGAATAAACCTTCAATCATTCAATCAGTCGGTCTAAAGTCTCTGGATATTCCTCGGAAAATACCGCCCAACCTTTAGCCGAGCCGCCACGCCCCGCAAACTCCTCTCCCGCCTCTCGCCTCTCGGGCCGAGAAAGTTCACGAACATCGCGCGGGTTATAAGCGAGACATGGCGTCCTTGATATGAAAGTGGCGTGAGCCGAGTCATTCGGCCGGCGCCTGCACGGTGGCTGTTTGGAAGAGGATATAGGTAAGGTTTGGACACTTGGAAGTTGAAGGTTAGGCACTTCGGAGAGGATATATGAAGGAGAGTGTCGCCATTTTATCTATATTAAGGACTTAAGGTTGGTCGGTCCAAATGCGACCCCTAGCGGCATGCAGGCAGAGATCCTGCCAGCGGAATCATGCCAAGCAACGCAATGCAAAAACCATGTCATTGTCGCGTGGTAATTTAGAGTGTTTCAATGCACGAACTTTCCTCGCGAACATATAGATTCATTAAAGCGGGCTTTTCCTCAGTAGGCCTCTTGCTGTGGAGAAGCTAGCTTTGGTGAATGTTGTACGTGGGACTAATACGCGCGCGCGCAAAAAAAAAAAAAAAAAGCTGCTGTACAGGTGGACTGTAAGCTTCATAAGCAGGGAGATCCAGCGGAATCAGTTGAAGGAGGCTACATTCAGTGATTTCAGCAACCTACTGTTCCATCAAAGCCGGGCGTTTCTCCATTAAAATCGAATTCACTGTGGCTCCGTGCTTTTTTACAAAGTATAACGAATGCACGCTTATCGGATATTTATGTCCAGCCGAAGAAGCACGGACCCGTTTGATTAACAAGTGCGGAGCATTTTAGGGACCCGGGATGTCGTATGCTGTCGTCGTCACTTGGCGTAACACAGGCAAATTCACGTATAAATATCGCCACGAGCATTTCTTAATTTTTCTCTTGCTGTATCTGGTGGTAGTACGCCCGCAAACACTGCCTCCGACTGTTGGCGTGAACCGCGGCTCGGTGTTCTAGAAGCTTCACCACTGTACAGTACATCGTTTTGTCGAGATTACGCGCACAAACGTGAACATTACACATTGTTCTGGAACTTACGCGACCGCCAACGATAACGCTGGAATATTAGGTGGCACATGCGAGTACAAAAGCCGACGCATGTCACCGCTTGTCAGTAGATCGAGGGCCGACGCTCTGTTCCTCGCTATCGGTGGCGGTCTGATTCGCTGTAATCTGACCTTCCGTTAACCGGCCACATGTTCGGCGCAATAAATAGCTTCATCTTGGACACACACTCTGCGCCCTTCGTGGACGTCATGGCTCCGTGACAATATGCAAATAATAATAATAATAATAATAATAATAATAATAATAATAATAATAATAATAATAATAATAATAATAATAATAATAATAATAATACAAGGAAGAGGAAGCAAATGAAAAACGTAGATAAATAAAGAAAAAAATAGAAATAAAGAGAAAAGAAAAGATAGGAAAAACTGAAAAATATGAAAAAATAGCGAGGAGGAAAGAAAAAGAAAGCCGAGGAGAAGCAAAGAAGGCTGCGCAGCTCCGCGCTTTCTTCTGTCTTGGCACCACTCGGGTAGAAGCTGCCTAAAGTTTTATTGTTTCTTTTATCTATACGAGGATATCACACATCTCGCACTAGAATTCGAGTATCCTTCAGCACTGTTCACATCCAAGTTGTCTCATTGGCGAGTGACATCTCATACAGTATCTGCAGGTAGGTAGCAAGTGCTCCAGCGGCAACGCTCGTCATGTGCAGAGAACATTGATCTGCAAAAGAGTTGACAAGAAGTGATATTCAAGCGTCATTTTTGGCTGCGACATTTAACGCGGCTGTTACAAACAAAAAAAGAAGAAAACGAAGTCAGGTGCTTGCAGCATTAAAACAGTGCACGATAATCGGCGACCATTTATTGGATTCCTGGCAGTAAACGTTTGTTGTACGACTACCCTAAGCGGTGTATTTTAGTTATGCTACCTCACATGAAAGATTCGCTTAACACACACATACAGACGATACACAATTTCTTGAATCATAAAGCAGACCGCCACTCGCACGACGAGCGCTTCGATACAGAAGTGGTGGCGCCCTCACTTAGAGAATAAGCGAAACTAGCGGCGGGGAATCGCGGCCCCTGAGATGGTCCGCCAACAAGTAGGCCGCATAGCGGGTGGCTCGTACATAGAATGTGGGTTTACATTTATCACAACCTCCCAGATTGAAACGCACGTAGGGGGCGCGTAGGTAGGCATCTACAAAGTCCATAATGACGCAGCGCAGACGATTTCACAGTCAATGCATTCATTATGTGCGTACAGAGAGCATATCGGCACAGCGCCTCGTAAGATTGCAGAGGTTATTTGTCACATTTCTCCATCTTCGAGGCTCAGAGGCCAGGCAGTGAGCGCCAAATTAGAGTCGTAGCGTGCTGCACGCGGTTGTTTGAATCGGTTTGGTTGGCGTTGTAAAGAACTAGAGAACAGAAAAGGGATGATCGAGTCGACGACACCAGATATTTGCCTCTCGAGTGAATGTAGCATGTGAGAGGTGGTAAGAAACATAGTAATAACGAAGAAAAAAATACCATCCCGGTGCAGCAAGAAAACCGTGCTCTGTCGTTTTTTTTTGTTTTTTTAGTTACACCTTCGTTCTTTGTTACGAATATTGTGGTTGTTCAATTATAAATCCGGACACCCTGTAAATGCAGCCTGTAAAAGTATCCAATCGGGACAGCCTGAAAGTAGTGCTGCTGGCAAAATAAAAATTTAGGCAAATCAAGACGCTTTCGCATTAAGATGAGCCTCCGACCATCTACAGGTAGTCCTTACTTTTGCCCTTGCGTTCGTCTCGTCTGACCCGCGGCGGAAGCAAACTTGCAGCAGGCTGGTTCTCAATGACGAAGCAACCATCGTCCCTCTGCCAAGAAAGCACGTCCTCAATGGCTGAGGGATCCTTGAAGAGTGGTAGATTCATGAAGCCGCACACGGCAACTGAGCAGAAAGGCAGAAGTTTCGATTTCAATGGTTTTACGGCGCTAAAAACAAATGTTCGAGTGAGGCTTTGTGAAAGTCAATTTATTCAATTCAAGGATAATATGACAGTTAAGGAAAGAAATCAGTTCTGTCAGGGCATTTAGAGGCTGTGCCCGTTTCTCTCACCACGCAGATAGACACGTGCATTTTTAGGTTCCAGATGGCGCCTCCATACGCACATTACACATGCTCTCGTAACGTTATTATATTAGCCGTCGCCTTTGGCATATATATATATATATATATATATATATATATATATATATATATATATATATATATATATATATATATATATATATATATATATATATATATATATATATTAGTCTAGTAGATCCTCCGTGAGCGGTCACAACGTGGTCTATTTCGACGTTTCGGCCTAGAGTCTGGCCTTCATCAGGAATATCTTTATTCCTGATGAAGGCCAGACTCTAGGCCGAAACGTCGAAATAAACCACGTTGTGACCGCTCACGGAGGATCTACTAGACTATATGCAACGCTACGGCCACTCAACCACCATGCCTGCCTATATATATATATATATATATATATATATATATATATATATATATATATATATATATATATATATATATAGCGAGAAAGGACGACGTACGAGGAAACACTTTAATCACATACGTTTCGGCTGGTGGGCCAGCCTTCGTCAGGTCACACTTACGAAGGCTGGCCCACCAGCCGAAACGTATGTGATTAAAGTGTTTCCTCGTACGTCGTCCTTTCTCGCTTCCGTTTTTACTACTGAACCAGTGCGCTTCCTTCCTCGCTACGTCTACTATGTATATATATATATATATATATATCGTAATCGAGGTGCATCTGATATACGTATCTAATATCTACAATAAGTTGTTAAAGGGGCCGGAAGTGGGCTCAGAATGTTTTCATGCACACTGAGTGACGTAAAAAGGGACACAAAACGAAATTATTCATTTATATTATTTAGAGATGCTTTACTGAGCCAAGCGCGAGACAAGTATGATGATATATTCAGATGACGTAGCAGCACGAATGCTGATATGACCTGGTAACAAAGAGTCGCCGATTTCATTTGCTCGCACTAATTCCCTCTCGCCCTGGAAGCGGCCACCTGGCCGCGTGAGAGTATTAAGAAGTACGGCTCTTCAATGTCTTATGTCACCCTTTCGCCATGGACCTAATGAACAGTTAGTAGCTGAAATGAGGCTTCTTCATCAACAAGCAATCGAGACACAGCACAGCATAGTGTATCAGGTCATTGCGATATATATGGCAATGACCGCGCAGATGAGGCCGCTAGATCTGCACACGACGGTACCCAATACACAGCCATCCCGTTCTCAAGAACCGACACAGCTACAAGACTTCCTTCGCTTGCACGTGACCTCACACTGGCACAGTGGAACTCAACAGACTTCACAACGCGCGCCTGCATAACTTGGATCCCGATCTGCAGCTTCGTCTTCCCTCGAGGATGGTTGCGGGTTCAAATCCCGGCTGCGGCGGCTGCATTCCCGATGGAGGTGGAAATGTTGTAGGCCCGTGTGCTCAGATTTGGGTGCACGGTAAAGAACCCCAGGTGATTGAAATTTCCGAAGCCCTCCACTGCGGCGTCTCTCATAATCATATGGTGGTTTTGGGACGTTAAACCCCACATATCATTATCTTCCCTCAAGGATATCTCGAGCTGAGGAGACTCTTCTATGCCGCCTGTGGCTTGGAGTGGCCTTCACGAACGCATACCCTTATCTCATTGGAATGACCAGCTTTTCTACATGCACTTACTGCAGCTGCGAAGAAACCATCGCGCAGCTTCTGTGTGAGTGCACCCATTTCAACGCGCAAAGACAAGAACTGACTGCAGCTCTGGATAGATTGGATGATCGGACGTTAAAGAACCCCAGGTGGTCAAAATTTCCGGAGCCCTCCACTACGGCGTCTCTCATAATCATATGGTGGTTTTGGGACGTTAAACCCCACAACGCAATCAGACTGGATGATCAGCCTTTGTCGGAACAAAGGATTCTGGGTCGTTGGCCGAGCCCATCCTCAGCCCAGAAGGCTTTGAAAGCTTTGCTGCGCGTTTTGCGGACAACTGGCCTCAGAGACAGACTTTAGTGTCCTATACTCTTTGACGTTGCCTTTTCTCTGTCGCGTTTTTTTTTTGTAATTTCTCTCTCTCTTCACAACATTTCTTTTTAACATCTTTCCCTCACCCCTTTCCCCTGTACAAAACAGCCAGCCCGTCTAAGAACTGTCTAACCTCCCTGTCTTTCCGCTTAAACTTTCTTCCTCCTCCTCTTCCTCCTGAGAAGTTCATGGGGTAAAGGACTTCAAATTAGAAACATGCTTTATTTCTGTCCCATGGCAAATGGCAACGGCCATCGGAAAGAGGTTTAAGGGGTCATACACGGTAATTAACGAGGACTGTTTAATAAATGACCATGTTAGTTGCAGTAATGTGACTCGTGAATTTTCGCCATAAGCCGGAAACGTGCACTTGAGTCCAAAAAGAAAAAAAAAGAAATCTGTCTCTGGGAGAAAATGTCAAAGCACGATGAATGTAGTCATGGGCGAAACATCTGAGTTTTCTCGGAGAAGCTGGTGTTACCTAATTCGGGGCAGGTGCAGGCAGCTGGCGAGGCAAGATAGAATTTGTTTCGATACAAGGCCTGCTGAATGTGCAGGAGCCGAAAAAAGAAAAAAAAAACGAGGCGCTCACAATGTTGACATACATTTAGCCGAACTTCGAAAATGTGCATCGTACAATGAAAATCAAGGATAAATTGGATGAACTCTCGATATTATTCTATCATAATAATCATAATGTCTTTCAACGTTGTGTCTATCGCAATAACTTCTACAATAAATAGTGATCACTTTGTTTTCACATTTCGATTTTGACCGAGTATACACTTGCGATGCTGTTGTGGCGAGTCAACTACCTTGTTCCATGAACAAATCCCTGAGGCTCAGCGGGAAGTTCTCGTCCACTATGAGCTGCGCGTCGTGTGCCACGCGTGCGCATTTGGACGCCAGGTTCCAATCGGCCGGTGGCTGTCCATGCTTCATAGCCAGGGCGTTCAACTTCGCTGTGCAGTTCAGCTTCCAATGGCAGCGGGAAAAGAATGCGCAAAGAGAAACCAGACACGTGAGAAACAGGCTCATCTAATACTGGTCAATGTCGGCAAGTGTTGCTCAGTGACAACTAGTATTGAGTAATCTATGGTAAATATTAGTTAGCATTAGCTAACACTGGCTGCCAATGCCGGTATACCACATTAAACTTGCGTACAGCGCAGGAAAAGACAAAAAGACAAAGAACTGACAAAGACAAGCGCTGTCTCTGTCGGTTCTTTGGCCCTTCGTCTTTTTCTGCACTGCACGCAAGTTTAATGTCATAGCGGGAACACTGTCCTCATTCCTCAGTCATAAGTCAATGATTGATTTTTCCGCATCTTTTATTTATTCTAGAATTTCTTCGTCTCTCGTTTAACCAGAGCTCCCACGCACAATACAACTGAAGCCTACTCTATGTGATACCTCTATTTACTCACTTATTGCCTTCACAGGTTGAGGACCATAGCAGATTATGTATTAAGTTAAAGAACACAATGTAGCATACCAAAGAAGAATGCATCGTAAATCGCAATGAGTCGTCTGTGCAAAAATAGCGCCGTGTCACAATTATAGCAGGGTAGTATTTTGTCAAGAGTAGGGCACTGATATGGTGATCTGTAGGGTTGTGCGAATATTCGAATGTTTTGAATTTATGAACGAATATACCAGCAATTGAATTCGCTTTGATTTTAATTTAAATTAGGGGAAATTTTGAAGCATTCGAAATGAACAATTGGATGCATACTAATATGCATGTACCTCTTTGTAAAGGTAGTTTCACTGCACTAAAGAAAGGCTAAGCCGTGAAAACACACCTAATGGAAATACACACTGCCGCAAAGCCCCACTACAGGAATAAACTAATATATTAGATTCATATCTCAAAGTTTAAAAGTATCTTATACCGGCTTTAACCTTTGAGAATAGGAAATTTAAAAACGTTACATAATTTAAAGGTCATCACTAGCGTTCTACCGAAAATCTAATCTTGATGCTATTCCGAATTCCCCTTGCTTTGAAGGAAAAAAAAAACGAGGGGGGGGGGGGGGGCAAAGCAATTGCACTTGCACTGGCAAAAAAAATGTTTTGCAGGTTGCCTAAATCATGACAAATATGCCGATTTTTATTGGAATATACACTATTCGAATTCGATTCAAAATTATTCGACCAAAATCACTATTCGCTTCGAATTCACTTCGAATTCGCTTCGAAACTAAAATTCACTATTCGTACAAGCCTTAGTAATCTGTAATATATGCGACAACAAAGTAGTGAACAAAGGGTCACGGAACAGCAGCTACACTACTGCTACACCTACGGAGAAAGAGGAATTCTCGCTCCAGAGTTACACGGGGACGGAGCTGCCATGCTGGCCACCGAAGAAATTCGATTAGCATTTTAAAATGAACGCTAAGGAAGGCAGAGCTTTTATGTAAAGATGCACGAAAATTCTTTATGTGCTTTCAAACAGTTCCGTTTGTTCAGTACAATTATTCATATCGCAAGTACGCCAATGCGGTGGTCTAGTGGCTAAGGTACTCGGCTGCTGACCCGCATGTCACGGGATTGAATCCCGGCTGCGGCTGCTGCATTTTCGATGGAGACGAAAATGCTGTAGGCCCGTGTGCTCAGATTTGGGTGCACGTTGAAAAACTCCAGGAGGTCGAAATTTCGGGAGCCCTACGCTACGGCGTTTCTCATAATCATATGATGGTTTTGGGACATTAAGCCCAGCGTATCGATCAAAGAACCATGTTGCAAGTGACTGAAGCTTTGCGCTCTTTCATTGGTTTGACCCTTGCAACACCCTCTTTATAATTACTTATTTCACCCGGCGTCAGCCCGTACACACACACACACACACATTATATATATATATATATATATATATATATATATATATATATATATATATATATATATATATATATATATATATATATAGTGGGAGTAATAATTCAATGGGCCAGTTAGTCTTTGTGAAGGTATGGGATATGGCACAACGGGAGCGTTGTCAACAAGGATAAATATATTTACTTCCCAACAGTTTCGGGAGGACCCCTCCCTTCATCAGGGGATCCCCTGAGGATCCCCTGATGAAGGGAGGACCCCTCCCGAAACTGTTGGGAAATAAATATATTTATCCTTGTTGACAACGCTCCCGTTGTGCCATATCCATTACCTTCACATATATATATATATATATATATATATATATATATATATATATATATATACGTGTGTGTGTGTGTGTGTGTGTGTGTGTGTGTGTGTGTGTGTGTGTGTGTTAGGTATAAAGTAGATCGTTTCGTTCCTGCATCTGTACAATGTACCCGCACTAATAAAATATGAACTGAGTGCATTGCACGCGAAAACCATTGCGTGCATGGTGCAACCACTTTCGGTGCATTTTGTTTCGGCAACCTGCTTTACTGTGCACTGCTAACATTTTTGATTTGCAGCAAAAGCGTACCCAGATGCCGACGGTGAGGAAGATCACTTGGTGCGTAAGCGCGTACCCGCGCTGGCGCCCGCCCGTCATGGCCACCCAACAGCTGTCGTTCAGCTGGGAACACTTGTGGCCGGCGAAGAGCTGCTGGATGCAGCCGTCGGACACCTCTTCGATGACGTCCGACGCTGCCAGCTCGGGCTCGTCGTCTGGAATCCGGGCTTCAAAGGCATCGGCGGAGATGGGTGGGTTTTTCCAGAGACCCTTGCTCAGCAGACCACGTGCTACTGTAGAGGGAAAAAAAACGAAATTGTGCCCGAGAGATATGTGATGAATGGACCCTTTTTTGTAATTCACAGGTGCGCTCCTCTGCTCTGCATATTTGCCCAAGTAACGGCGGCACCTGTCGTGATTCAAGCGGAGGTGCGATCCTAGTTTAACGGGCTGGGGCTTGTACATTATGAGTGTTTGTGGCAGGAGAGACGACTTTACATACTACACGTCACTGCGTAAGCAAACCACGCTTGAACAGGCAATTTTCGGTTAGTGCCAGGCCGCCATTAGTTGTTCAAACTGCATAGCAGGAGGACCAACTGTACAATTTTGAAATGGGTTCATTGGCGCGAATCTAAGAAAATAAACCATAAAAGGTATCTGTCGAATATGTTGACCTTTGAATCTAAGAAAATAGTTTGTAACGAATAGGGCCTTCGTTGGACTTGGTTATGTGGCCGAACTAAATAAACTGACAAGTCGGAAGACAAGGTAAGTTTTATGCAAAATGCAAGGAAGTACTTCTGTATACTACCACTAGCCGAATCCCCTCGTCCCCAATTTTTTTTTTTTCGAGGAGCTCGTATTTGTGTTGGTTGCCCCTGCAGCTTGAAGCTTCAAAAGGTCAGCCAACTTGGTCGGAGGTAGGTAACTTCAGCCATGCGATTCCTGAATTGCGCTAATAACTTACTAAAATATATGCGCGGCGTCGGTCTGTTGAAGTGCAAAGAGTTCAACTCCTCACTGTTATGCCGTAAGTGGTGCGGCATGTGTTACCGAAAAAGGGAATAAATACATACTTTGTCGCGATAACAAGAGAAAGCGTGTTATCTTCTTAGATTATCCATAAAATGAAGCGTTGCCATTACCGACACACGAACGCAATCACGCAAAAAGAAAGAAAGAAAAGAAAGCAACTAGGCATGTTACTTTGTAGGTACTGCAGACTAAAGTTGTATTTATTTATTTATTTATTTATTTATACCTATACCTACAGCGCCCTCTGGGGGCATTGTTCTAGGGGGGTTTACAAATTCAAAGTACATTTAAATCAGAGGGGACAAGTTGAATTGCATGGCACTAAAAAAATAAAAACAAATCAAAAGTACCTAAATCACAGCATACAATATCATTGTGTGACCCCATGCTCCTTTAAAAGGGAAGGAAACGCTGAGGAAGGGGTGGTCACAATGTCTTTTTGGAAGACTGTTCCATTCGTGAATAGTTTTAGGAAAAAAAAGTATTTGCATACGTTGATGTTCGGCACATATATTCACACACTTTCAAAGGATGGTCCCGTCGTGATGAGATGTATGTTGGTGGTGTGATGTATTTGTTTTTATTGATCCCAGTTTTGTCGTTTATTAGGTTGTAGAAAAGACATGGCCTGATATATCTACGCCTTGAGGAGAGTAACGGCCAACCAAGTCAACTAACAATTTCGCTAGACCTTCTGGTGAAGTCGTAGTCACCCGTCACAAACCGGGCGGCACGTTTCTGAATGCGGTCCAATGCATCAATATTTAACTATTTAACTAGAAAGCAAGTCCGCGCTGCAGAAACTTAAAAGATCGTTTTGAAACGGGTTGTATTTTACATACAGCTCCAGCCTTAATGAAAAAGTTTGACCAGGAATATAGACTTAGCAAAAAAGCCTAACACTGCTGTACAATTGTAATATTGGTGTCCTAAAGTTATTGTCTATGGAGTGACATGTGATGACGTCTACATCTGTGGAACATAATGAACATATTCCCGAAACGTGAAATCAGACCCAGTGCTTGTCTTTGTCATCAACGCTGACTGCGCAAAGAAATGTTTGCAGAGAAAGATAGTGAAAGTTAACTCTGAAAAAAAAAAAGGTTGTTTTGAAATCTCCACTTGCTTAATTTTGCGTACTAATAAAATAAAAAATCCGAATAGCGTAACAGGCAGAAGACATTCTTGAAGCCAGATACAGCTCCATTATACCAGTTGTATAGTTAGCTCAGGTGTTGTCTCGTAATCCCTTCCTCTCCCAATCTTCTGCTTATAACTAGTTTGCTTTAGTTAACGCTTGTATTTAGGCATCAATTACACCTCTATACTGCTTTTGAATTGATCGCGGGAAAAAAACTGAACAGTCGAAGTTTCCTTGGTCTCGTATGTCACCCTATTTACAGCGTTGCCCTTCCGGATGCGATAAAGCCGACCGTCTGAAAAACAGCGTACTTTAGTCTGGAAAATTGAATACGATAAACAAACTCACGTGTCTTGCTGGCGCTGGCTTCCTGTTGTCCTAGCACACGCACGGTGGCGATGTCCACGAGAGCTGATGTTTTGTGCTGGACAGTCCGGATGTCTTCAATCGACACGTTCAAGCGTACTGTTGTTCCAGAAGTGGTGCTCCCGCTCTCACTAGCCTCGTCAACCAGCTTGCGCAGGCGATCTGCGTCGAATGAATTCAATGTTACTTAAACACGCCGACATTTCTCTGGGAGCTCTCTAGGTGGTTCGTGGGGAATGAATGGTATTCGAGGTTTATTATAGAACGTGCGTCCAGCACTTTGTGCCCGACTTAACGACACTCTAGTGAAACGCTTGAGCATTTACTGCCATTTCTGTCAACTGCTAAGCAAATTCCAGCCACGTCATCGTTCTCGATCAGCACTCGACCGTTTCATTGTTTCCGAGGGGTTGTGCTTCAATTCACTCTCACCCCCGTATTTTAGAACGTCCCTTCACTCAACGCTTCCCCTTCACTTGAGAAAGCCGATGGGAGCGCCGTCTCTAGCCACGGCAAGTCAGCAATAATCTGCTGCGATTCTTGAGTAGCGAAGGGTCATCTTCAGTCTAGCGGTGGCGCAGTGCTCAACTCTGTCAAGTGAAGGCTGACAGTCGAGTCGAGGAGCGTTTGTGAATACAGGGGTGATTTTTACAAGGTTTTACTGAAAGCTCCCGAAGAAAAGAGTAGGTAGATTTAGCTTGCTGTTTTTGGTGGCACGCTTCATGGTAATATTGCAAACACATTATGGTTCAGTAGAAACATTAATACGCCGGCACACCCCAACTCTTATATCAACACTATCCAGAATGCTGCATCCGCTCTCGTAGAATCGATTGAGCAGAGCCGTCAGTGAGCCTCTAAAGGTAATCGATGGAGCAGCCAAGGCGCATTGCCCTTATTTGGAAAACGTTAGCGTTCGAACCACGCATGCGAGTCTATATTGCTCCATTTCTTCAAGTTTTTGTTACCGCCCCATTTCACTGTCAGTTATTCTCAGCACTAACCGCGCCTACAGTGTTCGAGAAGCTTCGGGACTGCAGTAGATCAATTCGTTAAGATCACGCGTACTTCGTGAACATCACAGGTTATTCTAGAATCTACGTAGCGGCTAGCGATAACGCTATATAATATTCGATATAAGTGTATAAATGCCGACACGCTAGCTTCGCCGCTTGTCAGTTGATCGACGGCCGACGCTCTGCTCACTGCTATCAGCGCCAGTGTCTTGCTGTAATCTAAATTTCTTTTTAGGTGGCCGCAAGTATGGCACAGAAAAAAAATAGTTTAATATTTGACCTGCAGTCCGCTCCCTTTGTCCACGTCACGGCCACATGACAGTATTTTTACAGCATGACGTGATGTCAGCGTTAGAGCGCATCGAGCATCTGTGGGACCGCTATTGTATTAAATAACACAGTAGATTTACCATCGCTGGAATTGTTATGCACAGAGTCGCGGACTACCACGATGAGCGTACGACTTACCGTCGGCGACGCGCAGTCCCAACGCTGCGTCCAAGTAGACGGCGTCCATGTTAGCCGCGAGTGCGTCCACGGCACCGTTCAGCGCAGCCAAGACGCGCCACTCCAGGGATGGCTGCTGTTCTTCACCGCCTGGCTCTGTAGATGCCAGGAAACCGAAGCTGCGCGCGAGTAAAACCGCCACAAGAAGCGCCTGTCGCCCCGCTGGTCCGCTTCCTTTGGTGTCCATGACGCATCTGTGAGGACTGTTCAGACTACCAATGGTCCGATTCGAAGGCAACCCGCTTTCTTCCCTCACGTCGAGATAACCTTAAGACCCGCCAGGGGCACTGAACGATGCGCTAAGCGCTCTGTGTCCGTGCGATGCTAAACCATTCATGAACCGTTCTCGCAAAGCTCCGTAACGGAGGATAAACGAGCGCAACAGCCGCATCCACTCCGACACAGAGACTCGAGACTGTGACGCCTTGGACGACGCTTAGGAGCTTGCGTGGCTGGACCAAGACAGCAAGCAAACAGAAGCACGTTAGTCACAAAGGGTCCATGAACCGTGATACGATCTCTGGAAAATCAATAATGCAGAGAGACGATCACGACAGATTTGCGCATCGCCGTGAAAAGCGAAGAACTGGGGTATTTACACGTACCTTTAAAGGGCCCCTCACTATAGCTGCTGAAAATACAAGAACAAACTCTTTATTATTATTTGGTGTTTATCGTGTTACTGCGCACTTCGAGACACAAGAACAGGGCTTCACATGACGTAATTAGGGCGAGTACTCTCAATTGGTACATATGCGTGAAATAGCAGTTGTGAATTGTCTCCCCCCCAGCTTTACCAAGCAGTGGCCCACTTGTTCACCCTTGTCTCGCACGGCTATCATGCGCGATCAACTTATTTCCATTTATTTTGTGTGTTTTTGGCATCGTAAGGAAAAAACACGGCGTGTAGCCTAGAAGCGGAAAATTCTTATTGGCTTCACTCTTACTGCTCTGACATTTAACACGCGCTTATGAAAAAGTAAGTGGCAAGGAGGAGATATCGCCCGCAGGAAGGGCAGAGAAGGCGAGAAAGATACCACTTTCTCATATTTGCACGCGGGGCGGTTAGGGGCACCTCAATGAGACAACACCTTAGTCTATATTATATGGGTGAGTCTATTTGCAACTGCACCCTTAACCATTCGTGCTCACAGAGCAGAAACTTCTCGCTTGACGTCTTCAAGCGTATAGGGCGACACGTCGTTCTCGGTTGTGGTATTGATGCTGCCAAAATTGTGAGAACAGTGAAGTGGCATGGCGTTAGCTAGTTGCCACCCGGAAACACTGGCCATCCGCTGACACTGACAAAATAGCGATGCTTATGCAACGCCACGCACAGCCGTGCCCTTCGTTTACATCGCACAGGCGATGTATGACGTGATACGTGACACTTCTGTGAAAAAAATCTAGGATCTGCTTTGAAAATACTATACATTTTTCGTTCATTCGGACCCCGATCTCATTTTGATCAAATTGTCTCAGGGTGCGTTCCTGACCAAAACGGATTGCCTTTAACGGCGTGGTGTTTCTAGGTGGTGGTGGGTGGTGGTGGTGGTGTTGCAGCAGGCGGGGTTAGCCTGGCCTGCATGGCCGGCAATTGTTCCGCCTGAGCATCTCCTTAATTTGGAAAATGTCACCACGTGTCAGACAGCCCAGTGTCTCGCAGGAAGACCAACAAAGTTCGTTGCACGTTCCTCCTAGTTGCCGCGGGTCCTTCAGGAAAGATGATGTCATCAACTGTCCGGTGCCTATGACAGCCTTTTCGCAAGGTGCGGATCATCGCTGCTCTTTGCGCATCAAACTGTGGGCAAAGCCAAATGAAATGTTCAATATCCCCGATGTCACCACAGAAGGCACAGAACGGGGAAGCGTATCTCCCAGTCTTGAATGACCAGGCCGGGGTGTATGCGGAGCCGGTTCTAATGCGGTACAACAGCGTCGCTTCTTCACGAGAAAGTCCATGAATTACACATGCTTGGTGTGGAAACCTGTAGATCGCCTTGAAATGATTGCGTATCACATCTTTGTTGTTCTGGTAAGTCTTGGGAGTTCTTACTTTTGGAAACGATGTACGTGCTTCGCATGCAAGGGCATCAGCCTTTTCATTGCCCGCAATGCCAACGTGGGATGGGATCCACTGGAACTTTATATTAAAACTCTTGCCATTTAGGTGTTTGATTAGTGCCAGAGATTGCCTGGTGAACTTTTCTTGAGGTAGGCCACGATGCAGTCTTTGTAGCGCCGATTTGGAGTCCGTCAGCACTACAACATCTCGTGCAGAAAAGGATCGCAGTTTTCGCAAAGCCGCCGTAATTGCAGCGCTTTCTACCGTTGTGGACGAAACCACGCGATCCAGGCGGCCCGACCATGACACGCCCAGGCTGGGTATGCAGAAAGCCGCTGCGCAGCTATCAGTCTGTGTGCACACTGATCCGTCGGTGTACACTTGTAGGTGGCAACGGTACATGGTGCTCAAGTGGTCCAGCGCAAGAAATTTTGCTTCCGCGGCTGGAATGGTGCGCTTCGCTGGTAGATTGGGTACGCTGAAGTTGCACGCAACATCCACAAAAGACCATGGCGGGTCCATAGGGCGCCGTTTAGGCAGTTTCAAGCCTAAATATTGAAATGTGTTTAGTGCCGCGTTGAAATGTGAGCCAGTTCTTGCTCTTAGCCGCCGGAGAAGCGCCGTGCCTGCGAAGGACTCGCCCAGTCTTGACAGCTGCGTCAATAAGACATGAGACGCCAAAAGGCGGAGCGGAAGAGACTCGGCTTCATTGGTGACCTTCGTGTTTGAAGCCGCCTGAGGGACTCCCATCGCCAAGCGAAGACCCTTTCTGTGCACTGCCTCTAGGCGTTCGAACTGGCTTGGTGATGGTGAAATCAGGGGCAGCTGATAAAGAATGCGGTTTGTTATAAGCGCATCATTCAATTTAAGCATGGACATAGGATTGTTGCCCCAACGGACCCCTGCCATGCGACGAAGAGCGTTGATCCTTTGCACTGATGCAGTTACTATACCATCAACCGCACGTCGCCATAATAGCTTGTTGTCGATGGTAATGCCCAGGAAGCGAACACTTGTTGCACAACGAATTGAGTGGCCTCGAATATTCAGCGACAGACGTGTTGACTTCCGTCGCACTCCCGGGAAGAGCATGAAGGCCGACTTTTCCGCTGATAAAGATAGGCCAAGTGTCAACAAGTGACGCTCAATGATTGAAATAGCGCTCTGTGCTATCCGGGCCAAACGTTTGTGCTGGTACCCTGAGATCCAAATGCAGATGTCATCGGCGTAGATGGATATTTTAACTGCTTTCAGAGCTGAGTGCAGAGTGTCGGGAAGCCTGGCCATGGCAGCGTTAAAAAGCAAGGGAGATAGAACACTTCCTTGTGGGACGCCGAGGGAAACGCGTCTCTCTTCGCTCGTTACATTTCCAAGCTTAACACGGACACAGCGGTTTCTGAGAAATTCATGTACGAACCGAAGAGCATTTCCCGACACACCCATGGCTTGGAGCCCGTTCACGATGCCTGCCTGAAGCACACAATCATATGCCTTGGCAACGTCCATGAAGACGGCGAGTGTCGAGAGTTCGCTGACGTGGTGGTGTTCGATGTGGCTTAATAGGTCCAAAACACTGTCCTGGGCACTCAGTCGTGGGCGAAATCCGGTCATACACGGTGGCCATCGTCTTCCTTGTTCAAGGTACCAAGTTAATCTTGTACATATTAATCTTTCCATCAACTTAGATACGCATGATGTTAGAGATACCGGTCGATATGACGCGAGGCTCGCAGGATCCTTTCCGGACTTTAGGACTGGCACCACCCATGCTGTCTTCCAAACAAGTGGGATCTCTCCCGTGCTCCAGACATGATTAAATATGTCCAAAAGAGCCCTTTTTCGCTCATATGGTAGATTTGTCAGCATTTGATTGCTGATCAAATCGGGACCCACGGCACAGCGTCTTCTTAATTTGCTAAGTGCCATATCCAGCTCTCGGAAGGTGAATGGCGTATCCATCGTGTGGAAAAACTGGGGTGACAGAGGAATCGCCGCTCCTGCTGGTCTACCAGGTATGTACACGTCTGCGAAATCCTCTGCAAGGGTTTGCAAATCTATCCCTTGTTTCAAAGCGAGTGCTTCGAATGGCCTGTTTGTTCGGATCTTCCCAGAAAGACTATTTATTACTGCCCATATCTTTGTCAAGGGCGTAAACGTTGATAAACTCTCACAGAAAGCGGCCCATTGATTTCGTCTTAATTTTTTTGTATGGCGACGAATTGCAGCGTTTATCCTGTTATATTCGGTTTTCGCAGACGGATTTCCTTTTGTTCTCATTATTTTCCGCTCCGCTCGTCTACGTGCTGCGCAGAGGTTCTTCAATGTCAAGTCTGGAGCAGGAAAATGGTCAGGCAGTTTCAGCAATGAAGTTGCTGATCGCTTGCTTTGCAACATATCTGCAAACAGCTCACCAGTGGATTTGTCCAACACTTCTCTGTAGGTGTCCCAGCGTGTTACATTGCAGAATTGCCGACCAGCAGTTCGAAATCCCAGGATATTGGTGAAGATGGGGAAATGGTCGCTGCCCATCTTGTCTGGAGCCGTGGTCGATGATACCAGGAGATCCGTGGAGTGAAGTACAAGGTCTATTGCACTCCATGAATCAGGTGGCCTGAAAAATGTAGGTTTACCATCGTTCGCCACACATAAGTCGGCAGCATCTGCAGCTGCTAGAAGTTCCCTGCCTCGAAAATCTACACTCTTATCTCCCCAGAGTGGATGGTGCGCGTTAAAATCACCACAGATTATTCGAGGAGCGGGACATCGAGTGCAGAGGTCCTTTAGGAAAGTCTCCATAGAGACCTTTTTTCGTGGGCTTATGTACACCGATACCACACTCAGTTTTCGGTTTCCCAGACACACTTGCACCGCAGCGACTTCCAGTGAGTTGGAACAGAGGTCTTGCACTGGTAGGGTGACGTGAGGTATTTCCCGCCTTATGTATATCATTGCGCTTCCATTTGCAAACGACGTTATGCTCGGGTTGCCGTGTCGGATGTACCCTGGGAGCGTCCTTGCATTCGGTAGACCGGCTTCGGAGAGGGCTAGAATCGGTATTGGAATGTCGCGCAGGAAAAGGTTGAGTTCGCACAGGCGTTTTAGAAGACCGGCGCAGTTCCATT